TAATGAATTGGGAAGTCTGCCATTTTTATAAGAATCATTGATCATTCTCAATAAGTAAGGGGCTAATTTTAAAGAGAAAGCTTTATAAAATTCACATCCAAGGCCATCAGGACCTGGTGCTTTGCCAGACGGGAAAGACTTAATGGCCTCTAGAATGTCCGCTTCAGAAAATGAGCCTTCTAGGTCCTCCTTTGCAGTTTCACCTAGTTGGGCAAAAATTAAGACTATCAAAAAAGGTATCATAATCCTCTTGACTGGCATTACATTTTGAGAAATAAAGGTTAGAGTAAAAATCGCTAAAAGATTCATTAATCTCTTCTGGATTGGTTATGATCTCAGCTGTTTTTGACTTAATTTGATGAATTGCTTGCTTTGCTTGCTCTCCCCTTAATTGTCTAGCTAATAAAGTTTCCAGCTTATCACCTAATTCAAAGTGTTTTTGTTTCAGTTTAAGTAAGAGGATCTCAATTCTTTTGCCTAAAATTGAGTTGTATTCATATTTTAATTTCAGTATCTTATAATCTTGTTGCGATCCGGAGTTTCCGGAGTTTCCGGAGTCTGCCTGTTCAAATGTTGGAAGTAAATTTTCAATTATTAAAAGCCTGCTATTGCTATTTTTCTTTTTGGCTGCTTCAAAAGAGATCATGTGACCCCCCATGACTGCCTTAAGGGTATCCCATAAAACTGAATCAGAGACTTTGCCGTTGTCATTAGTCATAAAAAAAATCGTCCAGTTTAGCTCCAGTATATTTCTCAAAAGCTGGGTCTTTAAGTAGGCAAGGATTAAATCGCCAGTAATAACTCTGCCGTGGAAGAACATTATTAAGTTGAAGTGAAATGGGACTATGGTCTGATATATATACATATTACGGTACTGCGTACCAGCTATTCTGGATACCAGTTCAGAAGTAATCAGAAAACGGTAGATCCTAGTGTAAGATTTATGAACATGAGAGTAAAATGAGTACCCTTTATCCGTTGGGTGTTTCAGCCTCCAAATATCAACCACGTTCCTATCCTTAATCAATCTATTTAGGATTTGTATTGAAGCTATAGTAGGAGGTAGCTTTGAGGATGATCGTTCTAGAAACGGATCTAAATAACAATTGAATTCGCCACCAGTAATGACATTTGCACAACCAGATGGAATTACATAAAAAATATTTTTGAAAAATTGAGGGTCATCGGTATCTAGGCCATATAGATTTAACATTGTTATCTGCAAAGAACTACGTCATCCTGAAATCATGACATATCTGCCATGTGAATCGGTAGTTATCGAGTCAAGCTGAAATGAAATACCCTTCCAAAATAAGATTGCTACCCCCCTGGCTTTACTGCTAAATGGGGCATGATATACGTGGGATATCTGCTCCATAGCGCCACCCTAAATTGTATTTCTTATCATCGTTGATGTGGTGAAGTTTTTTTGTGGAATAAGTCACGGTTGAAAGCACTCAGGGTAGCACTTTACATTTCCTCCGTTTTATCAGTAAAGTGGCATGCTGCGCTGTGTGTGTGTGTGTGTGTGTGCGTGTGTGTGTGAGAGAGAGAGAGGTAGACTGGTGAAGAATGTAAAAGGAAATAGAAAGCGGTACAGAGACCGAGAGTGATTACAAACTGTTTTCTTCTCCTTATTATACAGTCTGTTGTGTGTTATTCCTTAAATAATACAACATGCACAGCTAGAGTGTACAGTTTAAATTATACAGGTTACAGTGTTAATATTTTGACTCATTTAGTCAATGTGATGGTTGTGCCAGAGCTGTCTTTGTCAGTGCCTTTTAGTTTGGAGCACAGGTTGAGACTGCCAGCCCAATGCAGTCATACAGGTGTCAGATGGGTGTGGTACTTGGACTTGATTTTCATATGTGAAAAGGCATTTGTAAGTCCTTGAAAATCTGATCAGAATTGTCCTCAGATAACAACTCCACTCTTCTCATTACTGTAGCGGCACACTGTTAATTGCCATTTTTATTGCCGTCTTCTTCCTTGTTTTTAAAGTCCATGAATAATCTGTCAGTGCTTCTTTTTAGAACTCACCATGGGTGATTGTGCTTGGCCAGGAGATGGCTAACACGGAATGAAGCCTCTGTAGCAGCTGTAGCGTTCTCGTGAAAAGTTTTGTGAAAATTGATTGCTGGGCTTTGAAAAACAATTTTAACTTTAGAATTCTTTTCTCTCGTATTTTGCTCTTGGGCATGAATCTTTGAATTTCGGGTGGTGGGATAGCACTCCAAATTACCCCTTTTCGACAATGCTAAAGTCTGGTGACATATCGAGCAGAAATCTTTTCTTTTACCACTGTTAACACAAATTCCTTTCATTGCCCGGCCATGGTTCTGGAACAGAGAAGATAGCTACGTACCTTAACAGCAGGCTGAGGTGACACAGCAAGAAACCGTATTTTGCAAAGGTCACCTAATTTCATAACTGTAACTGGCCAGAATTGGACTATTCCCAACCCATACAGTTGCCACCATCAAATAAATATGTCGTGGTATACAAATCTAGCCAACCAGCAGATATTTCACCATTGCATTGTATTTTATTATTATTATTTAAAAACAAAAACAAACATACAACAAAAAAAAAAGTGTTTTTTATGATCATTAACAGTACATGGATGGTTGCAATCTACTAAAAATGCCTCGGCTATTGACCGGTAGATCGCGATTGACAGGTTGACGACCACTGCTCGAAGGCTTCTCAAATTAGTATTTTGTCTGTATGTAATGCCCCCTATCATCTCAAAGAAACATGTCTCTCATTAATATATTCCCTTTTTGCTCTTTTGGAGCAAATAACTTACAGTCCTATGCCTGTCATTAAATACTGAAACGAAAGGCTGCGTCCAGGAACTCCTTTCCTTCACCGTTATGTGATATCTGGAATTTCACTTTGAAGAGCAGTCCTCTGAGCACTTTCCTGACACCTATGAAAGCAGCTCTTGCTTTGGCCACACTGGAGGTGAAATCTGGGAAAATGCAGATGGTGTTGCCGTTGTAGCTCAGCAGTGATTGATCTCGGGCTTTCCTTAGGATCTCTCTATCAGTCCCATCATAATGCAGCTTCACAGTGATAACGTGTGGTTCATCTCCCTGTTTCCACTCTGTGAGGTTGTGATGTGAGCAGTCAATTTTCACATCCCTGTGCAGCTGCAGCACTTCTCTGAGTAACTTGGAGACTGCCATGGGGAGCTTCAACTTGGTTGCTCTGGGACTCGACCAGCTTGAAAATCAGTAAGATGGTGAACTTGAACGTGACAGTCTCTGTTGGTGCTGCATGTTGTCGTCTGTAGCGGCCATATTTGTAGGCCGCGTAGTACTCTGGTTAGTGTAGTTGAACACCATTTCTGGCCTTGACATGACAGAACCCCCTCACTCCCCAAAGCGCTACTTCCAGGAGCCAGGGCAGTTGGGGTGACGGGCCTGGAATTCTTGGCATAGCATGGGGTTGAGTACATCATGGAATCCTGCTCCTTTCCTCAGGTTCATAGCCCTCCCATGCAATGAGGTATTGTAGCTTAGCATCCCTTCAGCGTGAGTCTAGGATTTCTTTGATGGTGTAAGCTGGTTCACCCTCAATGTCGAGGGGTGCAGGTGGTGTGATGGCTGTATCACTGTTTTGAGGCATGAAACAGGAAATAATGGCACTAGGCAGATGTTTACGTGTGACATTGTTGATAGGTTTTAGGATCTTGAACGGGCCAATGTAGTGATGAGAGAGTTTTCTACACCCCTTTATGATGCGGATGTCCCTGGTGGACAACCAGGCTTAGTTGCCAGGTTCATAGTGGGGAGTATCTTTTCTGTGATGATCTGTAAACTCCTTCGTTACCTAGGCTGTGTGTTCAAGCCGTTGATGGACTTGTCAACGGCTTGAACACTTGAATAGCTTGAATAGCTGCTTGAATAGCTGCTCACTCTGCCTAAACCATTTGTCCACTGCGGGTGAGTCGGTTGGGTTGGCATTCCACAGGAACAGCAGCGGCTGGTATCCTAGAACACACTGAAAGGGGGTTAGCTTGGTTGCTGTGTGCCAGAGGGAGTTCTGCGCATACTCAACCCAGGGGAGGAACTGTGCTCAGTCCTCCTGATTGTTTACGCAGAACGTTCACAGAAAACCCCCAATCTCCTGGTTGGCGATCTCTACCTGTCCATTAGCTTGAGGGTGATAACCTGATGTTAAGCTCACAGTAACACTGAGTTTCTCCATGAATCCCCCCAGATGCATGAGGTGACCTGAGCTTCCCTCACAATATCCTTTAGGATGCCAAAGTACCTGAAGACATTGTTGAAGATTAGTTCTGCAGTTTCAAATGCTGATGGCAGGACAGGTAGGGGAATCAGGCATAATAATTTGGAGAAACAGTGGGTAATATACATGATTACTGTATTGTTTTGTGATGTGGGAAGATCAGTGATGAAGTCAATAGCCAGCAGGTAGCAGTTGGAGTTTCCCAGCAGGTAGGGTACGAGGTACTTTGGCTTGAGCGAAGGTGGAGCTTGGAGGAGTTGGAGGGCTCGGTGCATGCCAGGATGTCCAGTGGCCGGGGACGCATTGGCCCCCGTGAGGAGAATTTCTCCCTCTCACACACACTCTCTCTCACACACACGCACGCATGCAAACACACACACACACACACACAGAGGCCCCGCTCACTAAGGGAGAGAGAAAGAAAAACAAGAAAAACATTTAACATGCAAAATAAGCATTTCCAAACGAGAGACAGGTGTGCACCATGTTAATTTGCTAATTCCCCCCCACACTCCCACTAAACCAAGCCACCACCTGCCACACAGACATATTGCCGACATATGAACATCTTATGTTGTTGTTTTTTCAGCTGCTCCCATTAGGGGTCACCACAGCAGAACATTGGTCTGCATGTTTGATTTGGCACAGGTTTTACACAGGATGCCCTTCCTGACACAGCCCTCCCATTTTATCTGGGCTTGGGACCAGCACTGAGAGTACATTCCCAGCGGCTGGGTTAGTTCCCTGCCTGGGAATCAAACCCGGGCCTCGGCGGTGAGCGCATGAGATCCTCAGCCACTAGACCACCAGGAACCTGACGTATAAACATCTTATAAACATCTCAAAAAGATCAGAATTACATCATTCAAAATTCATGAACATCACCAATGCTAGACATCGCTGAGAGATCTACCAGACAGATTTTGAGACGTATTGAAGATGAGCAAAAGCCCTAAATACGATTAAAATCCAGACGTCATGAAGATGTGTATGTGCAAATGGGGAGCATCTAAGGAAGCAAAAAAGTAACATAAAGATTTGAAGAATTGACTTGAAACCCATTGACTAAAACCCATTAAAACCCAGTGAATTTTTTTAATGAAAATTAAAGTCAACTGAACTAATAACATTAACATATTAGGTTGAAAACCACATATCTGCATTTATGTATTTTGAATTAACCTTCTTTAAATTCAGATAATTTTTTAAGTATACATAGATTCACATTTTAAAATTCAGGTATATTTAAATAGCCCATTTTTTTCAAAGTTGAAAAATTAATAATTTCAAATTCCAAATTAATAATTTAGTTTTAAAAATTCAAAAACCTGTATTCAGGTTGCCAATTTCAGTGCTCAAATTCAACTAAGTTCTTCAAATTCAGGTTGCAAAATTCAAAACAAAAAATTAAAGTTTAACATTCAGGCTACTCAGGGGTAAGCAGAGGCAATTGAGCCTGGAGCAATCGAGCCTGCCCCCACCCGAGTATGAGAGGAATGTATTCATTTTTATTTTTACTTTGCTACTAAACATATGTGATGGAAACAGAAAAAAATTAACTTATGTGAAAAAGGCTACTCAGTGCCATCATATTTACTGAAGAGCTGAATCATTTTTTTCAGTGTATGTCATCTTTCTGCTCATTTTGACACATACACACACACACACACACACACACACACACACAGACAGACATGTTCAGAGAGAGAATGAGAATTGAATAACAACCACAAATCATGGCATCACCCATGCCACGTTATAATTCACCGGTTCCCACACACTCCTGCTACAGACTCCAGCTAAAGAACATACAATAGTTATAAGACAAATTTCCTTTATTAATCTGATTCAAATCCATGATTGCCTTCATGGCGTTCTGTTGATATAATGAGATAGGTGCGCACGCTCCTGAGAGGGGGAAGCGTTTGACGGCAGGGGATTCAAAATAGCACAACATGCTCCAGGATCGATTGCCTTTGCCTAACCCAAGTAGCCCGGATGATTGAGCACTGAATTCAGCAACCTGAATACCTGAATACAGGAATTTGTGGACACTGAAGAAATATATTAAATATAGATACTTACTTTTTAACCTTAACTTTATACTTTACTTTACTTTGACTTTACTTTAATTTTATACTTAACCAAATTTCAAAATGTGAATCTCAGAACACTGAAAAGAATTCATAATGAACAAATACAGATGTGTGGTTTTTAACCTAATGTATTTCAATATTATGAATTATGTTGTCTTTAATTTTCATTATTAAAAATTCAATAGCTTTTAAAATTAATTTTTTTATTAAAAACTTTTTTTTGTCACTTTTTTGCTTCCCTAAGCAACTTGATGCCACCTGGTCATGACACAAAATGATGTGATTGATTTCTGTGTGTGTCTTAGCGTAGTGACTATCCATAGTATTAAGACTGATATGGACCTTTTTCACACTTGTGTGTTGGGTTAGCATAAGTAGAACTGTTTCAAAATGCCCGGTGAACAATGGCAGCAAATATACCTCACAATCATTTTTACATTCAGTTGGCAGCCCACCCTACTTAAATGAATGATGTTGGGTGGGGGGTGTTTAGAAAGTGGGGACATTGACAGCTGACTTGTTCAACTGACAGGTGGAGCAGGCAGGGCTGCTCCAAAAAGCTCTGTGTAAAGCAGGGTCAGCTTCCAGACCAAGGGCTGTGATTGCTAATTTTAAAACAGCATTGCAGCTGGTGTCAGTTGCAGAGAGACACACAATAGTGAAGTTGTCTTTTGGACATAGCAGCTGCCCCTATATTTGTCCTTGCATGATCAACCCCCATCTATCCATCACTGGCACCACATGTCTTTACTCTTATAGTTGAATATACCACTGTGGTTTATACAAATACAGAAGTATGTAAGTAAATATAAGTATAATAGTAAGTATATATAAGTATTTAATGTAATAATTTTCACAATATAATATTAAAGAGTAATCAGTATATACTTATTTTTCAAAAAAATATATTATTTAAAATTAAATCAGTTTTAGCTCTTTGAGTAATTCCTGTATGAAACTGAAATATCTGAATTTCCTGTGTACCATTTGCTTCATTTTATAAAATTGTAAAATTAAAATGATCACTTATTTAAATGGTGGCATATGCATGCTTCATTGGCAGCTGGTGATTTTTAAAATAGGGGAAGCAGAGGTGTCTATCATTAAAGTATCTGTGTGTGTTCTGTTTTATCTGTTTCATCTATTGGTCCGGCCTCCTGTTTATTCTCAGTCTCCTGTTTAATTCTCAGTCCTCATAAGTAAAAGTATCAGAAGACTTTTCCAAAATCAGGTCAACTAACTAGCTAGCTCAATTTCACTGAAGAGGGTCGTGACAGCTAGATATCTAGACCTATAAATAAACAAAAAACAAATGCAAATAATCAAACATATCTCCATACTTACAAGTTATATACAATACCTACTAATTACAATGATAAAATAACTAATTGCTATACTAATTGTGTAAAACTGTTATATATTAGGCTACTAACTGCTACTGCAGCACCGAGCACACTGCGAGTCTGACTGGCACTGATATGTTTAAGTTTCAGATGTCAGTCATGTTCTTTACAATTTCAGTAATTGGCAGTTGTTTACAAGGTTCTACCTCTTCATCAGCAAATCAAGATCCCCCAGTTGTCATATGGAGAAGCTGTGCAAAGAGTGAACTGTCCAGTATTTTTTTCTATGCAAAACCCACCTTCCCACACACCATTTGAGCTCTAGAGAAGCCATGCTTCTGGGTGGGACCCAAAATGATGTTCTTGTTATTTTCTCTTATTAAAACACAGTGTACTTGAATCTGGAATAGAAGCCCATAGGAGCTGGGTTTCACTGCAGTTCTCTGGGTTGTGTGTCAGAGGCTTCAAGAATTCTTCCCAAAGGTGTTCAGTGGGGTTGAGGTCAGGGCTCTGTGCAGGCCTCTGGAGTTCCTCCACACCAAAGTCATCAATCCTATGGACCTCACTTTATGCACAGGGGTACGATCATCCTGGAACAGGAAAGTTTGGGGGGCCTTCCTCAAATTGTTTTAACAAAGTTGGAAGCATACAATTGTCTAAAATGTCTTTGTATGCTGTAGCATAAACATTACCCTTGATTGGAACTAAGAGGCCTAGACCAAACCCTGAAAAACAGCCCCAGATCATGGAGGTGGAACTTGTCCACCACCAAACTTTGGCACCATGCATTAGCATAGGTAGTTTTCTCCTTGCATCCACCAAACCCAGATTCATCCATCAGACTGCCAGATAGTGAAGTGTGATTCATCACTCCAGACAGCAGGGTTCCACTGCTTCAGACTCCAGTGGTGGAGTGCTTTACACCACTCCAGCTGACACTTAGCATTGTGCATAGTGACCTTAGGCTTATGCACAGCTGCTTGGCCAAGATAACCCATTTTGTGAAGCTCCCTATGCACTTTTTGCCCTGATGTTCCCTCCAGAGGCAGTCTGGAACTCTGTAGTGAATGATGCACCAGAGGATAGGTGATTTTACGCCCTGTGTGCTTCAGCACTCAGTGGCCCCGCTCTGTGAGTTTGCGTGGTCTACCACTTTGTGGCTGAGCTGTGGTTGCTCCTAGATACTTCCATTTCACAATAATAGCACTTGTCTTGCATGGCAGAAATTTAGTATATACAGTATATACCTACAGTAGTAGTATATTTTTTGATTATCATTTAAGATCAATCATTTTAGTTAGCATACGCAAAATTCACACCTATGGTACAAATGGAGTAATGTACTTATATTTACTTACTCCTAAATAAACTTACAAAATATGCATCAAATATTACTTGTACATTCTACATCATTATTCATTTCTGGGTAATTATTGCTTTATGACAAGTACAACTACATCAAACTTCTACTACATAAAATTAATTACCAATTATTTACTGTTATCGGGGATTTTGGAGTTGGATGCAAGTGCAAGTGGTTTATTTACAAGCAAAACACAAACACACGTAGACAATACAATAAACTAGGAGTCTAAGCATGAGCTATAGATATGAATCATAAACTATGAACATGAGGCAAGCAACACACCGACAGCAGGTAACACAGGACAAATGCTAGACAAAGAAACTTACAAAAACCAGGGCTTAAATACAATGCTCATTAGGTGCAATAAGGAACACGTGTGTGGTCAGTGGGTTCATGCAATGTGCAGGGGCTAATGGGTAGTGTAGTCTGGAGTAGTAGTTCGGAGCTAACATGACATCTGTACTGTAAAATAAAGTGTGACCCCTTTAACTAATGAAACAGTGACATTTGCATAATGTCTGGGTATTTTGAGCTTATAAAACAAATAAATAAATAAATACAAATTTTTACACACAGTATAATACTGGCAAGACACACACACACATACACACATACACGTACGCACACACAGGCACAACTACAAGATCTGAGAAAGAAATGGCTTTGTGTTGTTCACCCCTTCTCACTCCTATGCACACACACGAAGAGGCTGAGACACTGCGAAAAACCCTAAGCCTTCCTAATCTGTTAGCCTTCCCAACTGCTATAAAATTGCGAGGAAATATCAACTGCTGAAGCCAATAGTTGCTTTTAAATGTGGAATTGCTTGGTTGAGCTGGCCCCATGATGGAGAAGCACTGACATTCACTGAGACTGGGAAAAATATATATTCTATGATCAATCAGCTTAACAATATTTTCATCCACTGTGGACTCCAAAACCACAGTGTGCTGTTAAGTTGTCTCCTGCAGGAATAAACATATTCAGTGAGGGGAAGTAGGTAAAGAA